AAAAAAAAAAAAAAAAAAAAAGAAAAAAAAAAAAGAATAAATTCAATCAGAGAAGTGAAAAAAAAATGCAGAACCAAAGGAAAGCAGTTAAGCAAGACAAAATAATAATAGTTTAGCCATTAAACAAAGTCAAGGACCTTTAGTTCCTCTTCAAGAGCTATAGATAATATTCTGAGCCATGTCCTTTGAGCTGTTTTGCAGACACTGAAACCCTCACCAGGTGGGAGAAGTTAACTACATGATGACTAGACTGCAGCCAAGACATAAGCTGCTCCATCTTGCACAATTCCAAGAACTGGCCTCAAGGAAACGGGAACCAACCCTGGAACTGAAGATTAACTGAACTTAAAACAATCAAGATGACACTGATCAGACCACCACATGACCAATTTCATGACTGTGGGAGGTGACTGTGCTCTTCTGCAGGTCGTAGCCCCCTCCCTCTGCCTATACATCCCTGAAACTCCCCTTTCAAAGCTCTTGCCCCCTGATCAACAACCAAGCTGGTTTTTGGACACGAGTCTACCTTCTCCCCAGGTTGCCAGCCTCCTGAATGAAGCAACCTTTCCTTTCCTACCAATACCTGTCTCTCGAGTACTGGCTTTCGAGCCGTGAGCAGCCAAACCTGAGTTCAGTAACATTACTGTTATTTTTTAATGAATTAATTAAAATTCTTAAATTTCTCCATTAATTTCTAATATGACAAATACTGACGAATATAAGCAGAACATAAAAGCTCTCTGAGAACTTCAATAATTGTTACATATTTGTTCATTTCTTTGCTGAAACATTCCGAAAAGTTTCAGAAACACTGTATTTAAATGTTACAGGTGTTATGGTGAAGATGTGTTCCCCCACCCCACCCCCGGCCAGCTTTCCTATTGAAGCCCTAACCCCCAACGTGATGGTATTTAGCAATGGGATCTCTGGGAGGTAAACAGGGTTAGATGAGATCATGAAGATGGATCTCTCATGAGGGGTTTCACGCCTTTGTAAGAAGAGACCAGTGAGCTTGCTCCTTCTCTCTGCTCACAAAGAAGAGGTCACGTGAGTGCGCAGCAATAAGGGAACGCTCTACTAGCCAGGAAGAGAGACCTCACCAGATCCCCACTATGAGAGCACCCTGATTTCAGGCTTCCTGCCTCCAGAACTGTGAGAAAATAAATCTCTGTTGTTCAAGCCACCCGGTCTAGGGTATTTTGTCGGGGGAACGGGGGGTGCCGTCCGAGTTCAGCAGTGTAGCATGTAACAGCAAAATGACTGGAAACAGTCCAACAGTCCTTTAATAAGAGAACTGGCTGATAAACTGTGGTACCTCCAAGCCACAGAACATTATGCAGATGGGGGAGAAGACAAGATATTCCGTGAACTGACACAGAATGGGAGGATTCAGAACGGTGTATAAAAAGGGAAGGAAAATAAGAACATCTCTTAAAATTTTACTTGCATCTAAATCCCCCCTAATATATTTTAAAATTTCGAGGACTCTCTGTAACTGTTCCCCGTAATGTTAGCAATCGAATACTTTTTTGGTACTGCCGGACAAGTTACTGAATGCAGGACAAATTATACTGGAACAGATGATATCTAAGGAGACACAGTTTTCTGGAGTTTGAGTTCATTAAGTTTCTGGGGTGCTTCTGAGCGCAAGAAATTGTGAGGTAGTTTTGTGAGTGCCTAACAGACCTCCATAAACGGCTGCCCCAAACCCAGATTCAGAGAGTCAGAGATTTAGTCCTTGAGCTTATTAAAAGTATCTTCCTCTCTCGTGAGTCAGTTCTGTATCCCTACGGAGCGCCTAAAAACGGCCCGGTTTCCTGACTGGCAAAAGAAACCTAAAAGCAGGGAAAGGCGCCGAGTTTTCAATCGCGTCGAGGCGCAGTTTGACCCAAGCAGGTACGCGTGGAAAGTAGGAAAAGAAAAATCTTCCTCCTCCCCCTACCGGAGTAAAAAACAGGGCATCCTCGGGCTTACCGGGTCTTGACGTTAGCAAGCCACTGAGCCCCGCTAGCAACATCATTAGACTGAACATTTCGCGACTCCACTCTTCCAGTGGAGACTTGAGCCCTACTGCCGTTGGCCGTTCGTGAGCGCCGTTCTCGCGAGGCTGCGGCACCTACCGGAGCACCCGGTACTCAGCGCCCCGTCCACCAATCGCCTGTAGGGCACGCCTCCCTTTATAGTCGTGCGTCCGGATCCGCAGGAAGCTCTTTTCCCAGCAGCCCGCTCTCCCCAATGGCCAGTTATCTGGAGGTCCTCGACCACCCCAGCCCTCTCCGTCGCGGTCATCGTCCGCCACAAACTTTTCGCTTCATGTGGCTGGACCTAAAAGAACTAACATTTATTGTGCGATGTTTTGTATCAGACACTACTTGCTGAATTTAAAACTATGCGCATATGCGCGTGCACACACACACACACACACACACACACACACACACACACGAATTATACATTCATATTTCCTAAAGCTGAGGTTTTTTAATTAAAACAACAACAAAAATCCTGACAGATTTTAAAACGATTCCAAGAAAGGGAAAAGTGAGTAGATTTTGGTATCTTCGGAAAGTACCTGCTATGGTTTTTTTCCATACCCACTGCCCAAATACACCTTGTAACCAGGCTGTGTCTACTTTTTTCCTCCAATCAAAAAGGTTCTCCCCAAACCGTTGGCTAAAATTCATGTGATGGCCTGCTCTTGTTCAGTAACTTCTCAGTACAATAAATATTCATTCATTCATGTAATGAATGAAATGGACAAGATTTTTGCCAATAATTACAGTACATATGTTCCAGTAGAAAATTCTAGCTGAATTCCTGAACATAGTATTCAAAATTTTCTAAATTCGGAGCCCAGGCTGCTGCTTCTTTTCTTCTATCCCCAGTGCTATGACTACTTATGACTTCCTGTCTTTCCTGAATGGAAATTGCCTTATTACCTTGGACTGCAATGCCTCCTCCCTCCCAGACTCACCACCCCCCCCCAGTCTCTACGTATATGCACTATCCTTCAATTCTTTTCAAATCCCCAAGAATGAGTTAATCTCTCACACCAATTAACAGAACGGCAGATACAGAAACTAAAAGGTCCCGTGGTAACACAGAAAAGTTCGTCTGGGGAATCACCACATCTAAACTCACAGTTGAGATGTGATTTTATGGATGCATAGGATTTCAACAGGGTAATCTAAGCCTGCAAAAGAATATCATGAGCATAAACACGGCAACAAAAATACAACTGGCCTCTCGGTGTCCATGGGGAGATTGATTCCAGGACCCACTGTGGATACCAAAATCCCCAGATGCTCAAGTCCCGATGTTGGCCCTCCAATTTCCGTACCCGCAGATTCAACCAACCATGGATACCGAACTATTTGCCACTTGAGGTTGGTTGAATCCACGGATGTGAACCTGCAGATATGGAGTGCCACTGTATTTTTATTGGAAAACAAAAAAGCTTGTTAAGTGGATCTGTGCAGTTCAAACTCACGTGGTTCAAGGGTCACCTGTATACACATAGCTTGCATCTCAACAGGAACAACAAATGCTAGACTAACACTTCTTTTAGGGGGTAGTTGAGCCAAAAGCTGGTTTCATCTTGCTTCACAGCATTAGAACCGTTACAGTAAATGCTTAGACTTGTTAATTAGTGGTAAGTACTTTGAATGGATTTCCAGTTATTTCACTTCTTTGTTATTTCCTTCTCCGCAACCTTTCCTGTTTAAATCTTTTAAAAAGCAGACTTTATGTCATTCCTGTGTATATGGCTCTCTCTATAATGGGAGGCATGTCTCATCCAGAACTTACATATCACAGGACCTAATGACCTACTGTGGTACCTGCAAGATGGTAGAGTTTCAGTAAACATTTATAGAATTTAATAAAATCTGATCTGTGCTTAGAAAACCTAGATCATGTTTTACTAGATGGTTAGAGACCCAGGCAGCTGCCTGATAGAAAGGGAAAATGCAATACCTCGAACAAGGTAATAAGCTGGTGAACACAGTCACACAGCGACACCAAAGTTACATACAATTTATCCTTGATTATTAAAACATCTTTAGAAGATGGCAAAGAATCCCTGTAATATTTTCAAATTTTTAAGTGGCATCTATGACCAAGAAATTTTACAATTTTTAATAACAATCCAAGATAAATCAAGGACAAACCTAAGTGAAAAGAATATAAAATATGTAAAAATATATATAAAAGCAAAAGAAGTTCAGACTGATCAACAGTCTTTTAGAAAAACTTTCTAAATATTCAAAGATCCAAGGAATTATCTAATTCTGAAAAAAGTTTTAAGTTGCATAGTTAATATATTACCAACTGTGAAATTTCAGTGATATGAATGACAATTGCAAAGCTGTGCAAAAACTGTGGGACTATCTCAGTGACGAACACAAACATTTTTGGTCGTATATTCGTTCAGAGATTTAAATTGAAATGAAGAACCTTTATTTGGGACTGTTTACAACTTTTAATATGTACCTGATTGTTAAAATAATGAATGTACCATCTTCAGAAGACAGATATGTGTCTTCTTCAAAACCAATCTGCTTTTCTTTTTAACAAAAAGCCACTGTTCACAATTTGGCAGAAGTCTGGGAAATTAGTGAGATAGTATCTGTAAACATTTGACTAGTAGTTTTACCTAAAACTAGTATAATGTTTTAATTAATAAGGTTATAAATAGCTGAGTATTTAAGAAATTACTGGGCAACACAAATCAGAATTTCAAGTATTTTATTTATTGTAAATCTTATGTTTGTATATGTATGTATACACAAACCAAAAATTTTTTTAAAACTAAAGAAATTCAGTTAATAAACTTATTAATAAACTTTATTATGAAAAATTACCAAAAAAATTTAGGTGCTTAAATTTTTATCATTCATACCATTTCTTCCACAGTAAAAATTCATTTTTTTATCATAGCTGGGACAATAACTCACAGATACCACTAACTTTTTTGCACTTAACTAAGAAAACTTTTTCTTCCTTCCTTTCTCCAGCCTAATTTCTTTAAAAATATTAGTGTCAACAGAGACATTATCAAGCACACCTTAGTAAATGTAAACATTCTAAATTATATTAATAGCAATCTTTGAAGTTTCATATTTTGGACTTAAAATTAAAGTGCTTATGAAATTCTCAAGTGGTTTTATGATAGCTCAATTGATTGAAGATATTATAATTGTTCCTGCTTTTTATTACAGCCAAGAATCAACAGCGTATCTGATTAGTTCTATTAAATACTTCGTACCTTAAAGTTTATAATTAATTTAAAATAATGCTATTGTAAAAGGATGTTATGCTTTAACATGATTCATAATAGAAATTCCATTATTAAATTAACTTTTCTAATATTCATTATCCATAGATAGATCCACAGAATCTATTATCCATAGAATCCATAGAATCATATATCCATAGAATGTTCATTAAAATGGAAGATAATAACTGTGTGTAAGTATACACATACACACTTTTAGTGTGTTTTTGCACTTTTAAATTTATATTATGGTATCTTAATTCTGTATTTTGTGCATTCTTCTGAAGACAGAGTATTCCTTTATTCATGTAGTGAATGAGATACACAAAATTCTAGTGTGTGATGATTATTAGTCTGTGCAAGATTAAAAATATTAGATATTAATTGACAGCTAATTAGTTTTCACAGGTATTAGATTATTACATGTTCAATCAGAAACTACATTAATGATAACTAAGGTCAAAATTCAGAATTACATTTAAGCACATAATGACAAAACTTAAACCAATACAGTTAATTTGAAAATCACTACAGTAACATGTTCAAATAACATAATCCATGTCAGGTGCATTAACCTCACAGATGACCGAATAAAATGTATTCAGTAATGGAAATGAAAATGTTATTCTAAATTCCCTGGCTTTACTGCATTTTTTCTGTTTCTCATTTCCCACTACTCAAGTTCTGTTTTTCTGTATTAATGAAGTTTGTTTGGTGGTATTTTGTTTTCATTCATAATTGCAGCAGGAAGAAAGGTTTTTCAAGAAAATATCAGGAAAAAAAAAAATTAGCTCAGTTCCCTGAAGATGTCTGCAAAATGAAAGGTTAAAAAAAAAAAAAAAAACCATCAAGTGAGGGAACTATATAACGGAGGTGGAGGAGCAGGACGAGCAGGAATTAAATTTCCCTGAGATGATACTTTCGGTTGTGGTGGAGGCGGCCTGTGAGGGGGAAGAAAGACAGTTAATCGTATGTTTCAACCGTATGAAATAATGCTACATTCATTACAAGCCCAACATAACACCATTCTTGACATCACTGACAATTCTTAAGGGTACCTTATATTCTGAGATCATTACGAATCGGATACGTAATGGTTAAAAGTCTCCAATCGGAGTCTAAAATGGAGTAACTACCTTAAAGTCAGGCTAGTGTATAATCAACAATGTACAAAGGTTCTGGTGTATATGTTTTTAAAAAGGGCACTACATGAGGGGCTTCCGTGGTGGCGCAGTGGTTGAGAGTCCGCCTGCCGATGCAGGGGACCCGGGTTCGTGCCCCAGTCCGGGAAGATCCCACATGCCGCGGAGCGGCTGGGCCCGTGAGCCATGGCCGCTGAGCCTGCGCGTCCGGAGCCTGTGCTCCGCAACGGGAGGGACCACAACAGTGAGAGGCCGGCGTACCGCAAAAAAGAAAAAAAAAGAAAAAAGGACAGTACATGAAATAGAAAAGACAAATTGTAAAAGACAAGTGAAGATACTATGTGAATTAAGCACCTCTTGTACTGTTAGGATTTAAGGGGAGCAAATCACAACTAAGTATAAACCTTACACACATACATAGAGCTGAAATTCCAGCTCTCTCAAATATAATTTCCACTCTGAGAATTAAACCTGCTATGACTTCTATAGCAGTCCTTCTCAGTTCTCATGCTTTAACCTGTGGATACGCTTCCCTAACTCCTTCATCCAATTCTAGTATATACCTCTATTCCAATAACATACTAGAACTTTACCTGGTGAATATGTGTCTCACAA